GATCTCTGCTGTTTACAGTACCCAGCACAGCCTTGTTGCTTTAGTAAACGTTAAGGGGAGCCCGAATGCAGTCCTGCTGTAGCACCCTATATATTCTACCTATAGAAATGGTAGCCCATACTCTGCTTTGCCCATTGGCATTTTATTGGTGATGGACAACCTGAAGACGGCCAAGCAAACTCTGGAATTACGTTGATTGCATTGTGATTTGTTTGCTCTGGCCCGGGTTAGTATCATTTCTGCATGATGGCCAGGAGTTGATGTTGCCCTAATAAGCTGGTTCCAGAGTCCTTCTTTATTTCAGAAGACATCAACTCCATCCAGCAGGGATGGGAAGCCTGTAGCCTCCAGCATGAACCACTTCTTAAACCATATCCTTACTATCATAAACAAAATATTGTACTACCACCCCCAACTATGGACAGTAAAATACCCCCCCCCAAAAAAAGCTGGGTGCTTGATGGAAGTTTATGATGTCCTGTGCAGATTTTGTCACTTTGTAGCTGAGGAATGTTGTCTAAAAGCTCATCGAGTTTCTTTCCTACTCCCTACCCTTAAAACCCTTTTCACAAGGTATAAGTTTTCCTTTCATTGGCGATGATCAGAGCATTTGCTTGGCTCTAGCTCCTATACTTTTAAATAAAGCATGAGTTAGGTTACGTTTTGCTATTCTGTCTGTTGCAGAGAATCTTCTAGTTTACATATCGCTCAACAATTCCCTTGTACTTACATAATTGGTATTGTCTCTGTCCATAGTAGAGGACACTTGATGCTCATTTATTAAATATGCTTGCTGGCTGCTCCCTAATCTTTGTTCTGGACAGACAAATTACCTTTCTCACACTGAGCATCAGCTCTGGGGAATTAAACCTCCAAGCTTCCACCACTTTAATTAGCTTGAAAGTGGGGGGTTGCAGTTACTAATAGACCTCAGGCTTTTAGTAACTTGGGGAAAGGGTAAAAAAAAAAAACTTCCTAGGAAGCTCAAAATGTCATTTAAAAACCATAAAAATCTAATATATTATTTCATTTTGGTAATTGCAAACAGATTGCATTTGAAGACTGTCGATCGTTTCTACTTTATCCATGGAAGTTAGATTTCTGTCGAGCTAGGCATTTTTAATTATCACAATTCATTAACACATCACTGTGGAGGCACATGTTTGACTTCGTATATTACAGAGTTTATGTAACGTTAACTAACATAGCAGATGAGGAATCTTAAATGGGAGGAAAATATTCCAAAATGTCTATATTTAGCTTTTGTGCTATGCAGCATGTTAACTAGCGTTGCCTAGGGGAGGGTATCTTATTTGCTTTAGACAGAATTTTTCCTAATTTAGAAGATCACTTTACTTTGTGTGCTTCAAAGGCAAGGCGTGTCATTTCATCCCTGTCCAAGGGAAATGCATCTTTTATAAAAGAAAAAAAGTAACTGTAGGATTTCCCATCAGAAGCTTCTACCCTTCCTTTGTGATAAATGTATCTTGCTGCTGTCAAAACTTAAAGGATATTATTATTCTTATTATTATATTCTTATTATTACATTTTAAGTGTGGTCTGTTTTGTTTTTCCCCTGTTTGAACTCTTCAGGGACTTGGATAAGTATTGCAGAAAACCTTTAATTGAGTTCCAGTTGGAAAGTAATTTAATAAGATAAGCAAATAAGGAGAATGCGAAACCAGTCACACTTGACTCAAATCAAGCATTTTAGCTAAGATGCCCATTTTTATTTCCTTGCAGGTCTGCTAAAAGGTCAGAGTACTGCAGAATGCGTGCCTTCATCTCAAACTTTGTTCATCACAGATGGATCCCATGTCTCCAGTAGACAAGTCACCTTTGTAGCTAGCATCAATGCCAGCTCCATGCCATTGCACCTTCTTTACTCTTGGTTGCCCTTCCCACATTTATTGGTGTATTAAAATGACTGAAAATGAACATTAAGGACTCCATGAATTTGGGCTATTGGGAGACTGTAGAGGAAATGGAGAAAAATGTCCACCAGAAGAGAACAACTTTGGGTGGGGAGGGAGTGGGGAAAATGACTAATGAAGCTAATTAAGATAAGCTTTTGAGTCTGCTTTCTACCCTCATTAACAATTAGCAGGGCACTGGTCAGAATGTGTACCCTGTGTTTTACCTTAACAACATTCTCTTTGCTCTTTGTATATTTAAGTGTTGTAAGGAAATGTGTTTCAAAACTCAAAACATGAGATAAAGGAAAGATGGGGCTCTTGTGATATTCTATCACAAACACTTTTATTGTATCTCTGTAAAATACAATGTATGTATGCATGTAAGTGTTTTTTTTGTCCTAATGTTGCTACTTCCCATGACACAAAAAAGAAAAAAAATCAAGCTCATAGCAGCTACTGTGTAGAAATTTTCACCTACTTCTAATTTGCTGAATGAAGAAGAAGAAAACTTTTATTTGTGATACTTTCAGAGACATTTGCTCTAGTATGGTGTATTTAAATAATAAAAACATAAAATGAAAATACTTGTAATTGAGTGTGACTTCAGTGCACTATAATAATAATAATATAGCAGACTTCCATTCAGAAATGAATTCTTATGCAGCTTTTAACTTTAGAATCTGTTTTTTCTGCTTTCTAATGGGTTTATGAAAATAAGGAATGCATTTAACTCTACAGAATAGGTGACTTTTGGCAATGGTACAGAACTCAAAAGTATTGCTGAGTGTTTCAGATATGCAGATAACAGCAACATTAAACCTGTATTGTGATTCATTTTTTGCTCTCATCAGCTAAGTCATCTAGGCTTTGTAAACAACAGGAAGTGTATATTTCCTAACACTATTGCATCGCTCTGTATACAGTGCAGTCATGTGGGTTGTCAAGCTAAAAACTCTCCAGTGTTTTGAAGACTCTTTTAAAACTTTGGTAATGACACAGCACATGTTCAGGCAGAATTTTCACTTCACTTTAAACCTTTCTGTATCATTATGACTGGTGTTTGGGAGTGGCCAATCAGTTTTGTTCCGGCTATAGGCCTTTTGATTGTACTGTCGTGAAGTGCTGCACAACTCTTCTGATAAATTTTATTAAATGGTCTGCCCTGGAAGGTGAGGTACGCAGAGCCCTTGCATTGTATCCAGTTAACCTGACACGTTACACAACGTTTGCAGGCATGGGATGCTATCCAAGAGCACAGGCTGGTATACAATATTCATGGCAAGCAATACACAAACCTCGTGTAATTGAGATTATGCATGTAAACGAACAAACAACCCTTTTGGACAATAAGGCTTTTAAATTGGATGATAATATAATATCATACGGCATAAAAATTGGAAATAGTTAACATCATAAGATTGCCGTGAAGATAGAAAATATTTTAAGTAATGGCATTATGTACAACTAAGGAAGTTCAAAGTTATGCCAGGTTATAGTATAGTATAGTTTGGTCCCTTCCTCAAGTTGCCCCTGTTGCAGCCTTGTAAATGTCTCCCCTAGAAGTCACTAGTTTGGTTTACCTGGGGTCAGGAAAGTCACCTCTAGCCGGCAAGGACTTACTCAGAGGAGGCTTGGTGAGTATACCCACCCAGTGAGACTAAGTTGTATAATGAATTGTTCATAAAAAGATGGAGTCTCAGAACAGTATTCAGTTTGATAATACAGCAGCTGATTTCCTGGAACATTGGACAATTCTTCCACATGGGAATTTCTGTGCTATGACAGAGTTAAGCATATGTGGAGGATCTCTTTCATTATGGAAATAATGGATAGTTTTGGAGCCTTAGTAGGAAGTCCGAATGGAAGATGCAACATGCACAGTTCTGGATCTTGACTAAATGCCACTGACACATGCATCCTCCAACCTGCAGGAATAAGCAGGATTTTCCTGTGGGAGGCTAACTTCTGTGAGTTGCAGTCTAGTAGTTTGAACGATGGTGCTGTGCCTTATCTTAGTGTGCTTAAGGGAGCTTTGTGTGAACCTGATCCATGCAAGCTGAGGAACACCACTGAAATTAATGTGGATGTCCTAAACACACTATCGATAGTCTTTGAAGTGAGAAATGCCCATCCATTCTACTGCTAGCTGGGAAACTGGTGTGTATGTATTCTTCAGATCTTGGGCAAAAATACAAAGGCAGAGAAGATTATATCAAAATTAAGCTGCACATTTTAAAGTAATGGTTTCATTTGCTGGAGTGCCCGTCAATGCTTTGGTCTGGTTCAGTTGTAATATCAAACCATTTGTTTGTTCATGAATGAAATTTGATTGCCTTCCACCCTTTGTGCTCTTGCTGACTTCTAGTTTTGTAGCAAACCTCAACGTGTCATTATATATATATACACTGGGAAAACGTGAGTTGTCTCTAACTTTAGTCCTCCTCAAAGTAGACCCCTTGACATTAAAGGGCAGGCCTAACTTAGACATATCAATTTCAGTGGTCTTCTCTGACGAAATGTAGTTGCATAGATCCACAACCTTCCAACCCTGTTTTGCTGCATTTGGATGTTACAATCTGCCTCTCAGTTGGAAATTGGGACATTGTGGGGCGGCGGGGGGGATTGTGATCCTGTGACTCCTTTGTGTTCCATCAAACAACCAGGTCTCAAACAAACAAATAAGCAGTTTGCTGTCTTAATATGCATAGGAAGGATTTGTCTGTCTGTCTCTCCATTTTACTAAACAAAAATTTCTGTGTCACTTCCTGAAAACCTGAGGACCAAGCAATGAAATACAAAGCCATTTTAGATTATGCCGCAGAGGTGAACCCTAACAATGTTTGAGCCAATGGGTCCTTTGAATTATGCTGTCTGAATTCTTTTGAGAAGATCTTCTGAGACATAGGAGTATAAAGCTTCCGTATTAGTGCTGTTGTAGATATCCTTTTAAAATTCATTCTTTCTGCCTATAAGCGCTCATTCTGCTGCTGTGAAAGCTGTACATGCCAGGTTTACAGTTGTTTAATATAACCTAGAAGTACTAAGATGATGGCTAATAATTTTCTGTAAGTAATATAGTGTGGCATTTAGCAACGAAGAGGCTGAAGTTCATTAAGGCTTTAAATAAACTATTATATGACTGGTTCTTAAAGCACAGCTACCTATTTAATAGCAGGCTTAAAAGCATTTCTTAAGTTGGAGACCTATAAGATTACAAATGTCACTCATGTTAGCATAATCCACATGCAAGTGATGAAGCCTTTGCTTTGATGTGCTAAATTGGAGGAGGACTGATGGAGCTATGAATATACAATGGAACATATTTAACTAGTATTCTTGCCTGGGGTAAAGCACTCTCGAAACTGGAGGCATATCAAACAATAAAAACAGGTTCTAATGGTGGAAGGCTGTGTGTGAGTTTGTGTGTTGGGATATTTGCTCTTACGTGAGCAAATGTTTTGGGTGTCTCCTCCCCCTTAAAATCCAATGGAGATTAACCATACTTGATCATACTTGCCCTTCTCTCCCTGCACTTGTTACAGTCGATTTCTAGAATCCATGCTATGTACCGTATATGTATCTGTAAAGATGTAGGTCTACTTTGTCATTCGCCAGAAATTCTAGTTATGAAATCTACCCATCCTAGCAGGCACATGGGGACAGCTTCCAAACCAAATTCTGTTTGCCATAAAATATACTGTCTTTCTGGTCCTTTGTGGTTTTATTTGGCTTGGTTATGTAGTATCAGAAGCCACACACACACAACCTATAAACATCACACTATTTAGAACACACACCGCCTTCCCACATTTCCCCCTCCCTCAATCTGCATTTTCTCCTGCCAGGATACTCCCAAAAAGGAGAGAGTATGAGAAAACCCAGACTGAGAGAGGAGAAAGTGTGGGAAGGCAGTGATTCAGAGGACAACAGAAAACTAATGGAGCTACAGAAGTTTACTATCCACGTTAAATGACACTATGGATGAGCCACCAACCTATGTTACTTAGTATTCAGGTTTTTCTTTAAAAAGTGTGTGGGGGGGGGGGAACCTGCTACTAAATGAGATTGTATTTATTGGTCATCTAGGTTAATTGAAAATCTCAAAAGTTTGCAGCATGCTGGTACTGAATGTGCAGTCTTGGAAAGGCATTTCAGTGATGAGAAGTGAGATTGTGGCATGTATAGCTCCTTTTATGCTAAATGCTTTTGGTGTGGAGCTACCTTGGCATTGTGGCTTGCTCTCCTCTGCCGTGACATACTGTGCAGAACATAAAGTTCTGGATTTCCATTGTCCTCCTCTTCTTTCAGGTGCATGCCTGCTTTGTTAGCCCTGCTAAGCCGCAATAAAATTTATTACGGTTAAGTGGCAATTTGTTGCCATGAAACTGCAATTAAAGTATTACCGGGCAGCCATTTTAGATTAACACACACTCGGAGCATAGGCAAGCGCTGAACGGGCTCTTGTTATCTTTACCAGATCGGAGCTCTCCGCATAACAGTAAAACTGTGACACGTTCACCTATGTCTTTTGTCAAGTTGAAGAATTTGAGCTCTCGGTGGGAGCCCAATGATCTCATCGCAAGCATACTAAGAGCAAAGACAAGTCAGGGCTGATTTCTGCACGTTCAACCTGCAGTGTATAAAGTTATTGCCATGTTTGGGCGATGGAGGTGGGGGTTTGTGGGAAGGGGGGGGGGAGATGGCATTGCTTTGCTGAAATTTCGCAGGGATGGGGATGCATCCGAGAGAGCGTGCTTTTGACTTCAGACTGACTGTTAAAACGGACTGCACGCTGTGGACTCTGATGCCAGTAATGTGAAGCGGGTTCTGACTTGTTAGAGTTTTAAAGGCGGGCGTCTTTTTCTCCTTTTAACTGCAATTAAACGAAAGGCTAGAACAGAACTGATCTGAAGTCATTGTTTCCGAGATGGCCACTTATACGTAATGAAAAATTGCAAAGCTTTCCTTAAAATTTAAGAACCTCTTAATCTTTTTTCTTCTTTTTTTGCATGCTTCGGCCTGATCTATTAAAACAAACAAAAATCTTGCACACTCCTTGATACTAAGCACACAATGGCGAGAGATGTAAGTTCCATTGACGCGAAATGCTTCGAAATAGCCAGTTAAGATTGCACCACCATATAGAATGAGGGTGTGCATTTGCTTAACTCTTTTTTGGGGTGTGTGGAAAGGAGGCAGTGAGGATTGGCCTTCCACTCTGCCACTTCCTTCCACGATAGATTCACTTTGGTATTTTTGCTTTTAGTGAAAACGTTGGCCAAATCCAGCACAGACATCATTGTTCCGAAGCCCATTTACCTCAGTCAGCTTAAGAGTACCGCCACCCCATATCTCCTGATGAAACCTTACTTGACTGTGAAACAGTATGAATGAAAATTCCCGGAACAAACCCAAAATATGCTTTGAACAGTGAAGCAATTATTTTATTTGTTTGTATGTTTACATCCCACATTTCTCAAGGCCGTGTAGTGTGCCTGAGTTTCTCTGTCTCTGTTTTATCCTCTTAACAACCCTGTGAGGTAGACTGAGAGTGAGCATCACTTGGTTCTGTCTCTGTATGGTG